TCAATTCTACTTTATTCAGTATGTAAAATAATTTATCTAAAAATAAAAATCTAAAATATTGTTTCCAATATTGCATCCGCATAGAACAGTTTATGCGTGCCATTATATACGCATGCTACGATTTTCGTAGAATTCGCTGAACGAATTAAAAAATATTTTAAAACACGCACACGTCAACACTTAGCGCGCAATCCGACTGATTGAGAGTGTTTGCAGGATGGTGCCCGCACCGCCCAACTCTCCTCGAGTACCCCGTCGTTGCTCTGCGCAAGTGATATCAGTGAACTCGACGCAGTCTCAGTTTTAAACCTTATTTTTTTTGCAAGGTGAGATTGTATGATCTTATTTATCACCACTCAAAAAAATTGGTCTAGTCCTTAAACGCCATTGGTTTACAAGAACAACCAAGCTGCAGGCAACAGTGCTCATGGCCACCGTTGCCTGCACGGAAAAAGAACCCTTCAAATGGGACTGCGTCGAGTTTTCTGATAGTGCAACGTTGCGCAACTGTATTGGTTTGTGATATTATTGTCTCTTACAACATTGATGACCATAATTTACAATGTTGACGAAAAGGATTTTTTTACAACACAACATAGAACATGAAATGTTAAATCGAACTATATAAGTAAATTCTTCCTGTCAAAATTGTAAGTTATTTCCGCTTGTGCTAACGGAGACGTTATTAAAAGGAAAAAATAATGCGTATCAGTGGCGCTAACGCGGATTGCGTGCCAGTGGTGTTAAAGCAGAATGTGTGCAATTGGGTGTTTTTAATTCCAACTGAAATGAAAACCCTGCTTTTGCCGTAGCCGGATAGACGTCAACAATCCCAGTTTCTTCGCCTTTAGTTATATTTATAACAAGCGATATCGATAGGTATAATCATTGAACTCTGGTCAGATATCTATGTGAAGGATGGCGATAAACTAAACAGTATTGTATTCATCAATACCTAGGAACAGGATGTATTCTACGAACTCAAACGGAATGAGGTACTTGTATGGTATGTGGTGGGCCGCAATTCGACATCTAAGCGCCTATACTGCGCGTGGGGTACTAGACAATTAACGAAAATTAAATTAAATTTTATATTTAAATTTTTATTGAATTGATATTCAATTATTTTTATGTGCAATTACTCCACTAGTTTGTTATAATTATTAATACAAAGATCAGACAAAAATCCTTTGATTATTTCTTTAAATTTTATATATTATTGCATTAAAAATTACATAAATTGATCGTCATATATGATAAATAAACCTTATTATTGTTGATACAAAAATCGAAGAAACACAAAGAAAAATTCTGCGATCTGACTGACTTTCAAACAAAAAACGTTTCGGACTCTTCACAAGTCCCATGGTCACGGCTGACTGAGCTCAACTAGTTATGTCGAATATTAATGCAAACCACCCTATTCTGAACTACAGTTACAACCTGTAACTATAGTTAAAAACCTAATATTTAAATTACCAGAGAACATTCTATTAACAATAAGTATGATTTGCAAATATTTTACTTTAACAATATGATGTAACTAATAACTAAATAAATTAATAAATAAAATATAGTAATGAGAAGTAGGTACGGCATTTCCAGTGCGTGGGATATGTATTGATTATTACGCAATATTATTTTAAATTCAAATATCCTTAATGTAACGACGACGAAGTAATGTTCCCTTACCATGAGCTCATACTCTTAAAATTCACCGATGATGGGCGGTGTGGAAAAGATTTATAAGGCAATTGTATAGCGCCCCTTAAGGTCACAAAAAGAAGTACCGGAAGAGTTATAATTTAGCAAACAAATTTTTTACACGGGCGCAAGCGATTACTAACACTTAAAACACATGTTAGAGGCACAGATGTTTCAGTTGCGCGAGAGAGTTAATTATTTTAAAATGCTCTTTGTTTTTGTGCAATATTCATGCGTACACAGTTGTAGAAGTATAAATGAAGTTTAAATTAAATTCGTCTGTTGGTTTGTTGCGACATAATAGTTGTAAGAAAATATCGAGATATATCTTAATTTAGAATTGTGAAAATATAGAAGCGAATACATTGCCAGCTCTAATTTGCCAGTATCGAGTTTCCCGCTTAGTAGTTTTAGAGGCATCTGCAGGTTCTGCTATTCAAAGTGTATTGTGAGAGTGCAATGTGAGAAAGTACAAACAATGTTATAACAGTAGAGCACCTTGTGAAAGAGTTTGTCCAGGTAAGTACTGCCACCTTACCTATTTCTGCCGCTAAGGAGTTAGGGCGCGTTCCCATTATGCGTAACGTTTTATTTATCGTTGGACGACTGTCGCGTCTAGCCTGTTCCCACATCACGATTATCTGTCGTGACTGTCGTAGACGTTTATTTTATCGTTGAACAACTGTCATGTCTAGCTGTTCCCACTATAGTGGCGACAATTTATCGGTTCACAGCAACCGCCTTGTCGTTTACACGACAGAATCGTTTGAAGCTGCGATTATCTGTCATCACATTTTTATCGTGACGTTTTATTTATCGGCGGACGACTGTCGTTTCAGCTCTTCCCACTGTCATGATAGTCTGTCGTCGTAACGTCAAAAAAGTCGTGAGCGACAGTTAATCGTGTTTTTACTACATGTAAATAACTTCATTTAATACACAAGCTACGACACTTTAAACTACACGACTATCTGTCGTCACGACATAATAGGAACGCGCCCTAATGTGAGCATTACTGTATTTCAGTTTAGAATGGTAAGGTTGCTGGTGAAATTACAGATACATGGGATTGGTGCCGTGAGCAGTGGCAGTGCCACTAAGATCTTTGCGATTTAAAGCTCTGAGTGACACTGCAACTGTTATGGTTAGGCGTGTCATTTACCACAAGGCTCACGACTTGCTCGTCCCATCACTTGGTATTACAAAAAAAGACAAGCTTTCGTATTCGATTTTGAATTCTGATGTAATAGCAGACCTGTTATCTTGAAAAGGACGTAATCAATGTATAAAACAAGTGTTAATATGTAAGAGGCAACTTATAGACAAATTATATTATAATGTTATTGTTGAATAGTAATCACCAAGAACAATGACAAAAGGGGAATCTAAACACAAAACGTTTGCTAACTAACATAAATAAAAAAACAGAATATAATTAACTTTGAGTTTTGCGCTTATTCACACTTATGACTACACTAGCTTTGACACCTAAGAAATAATATTACGATTTATTAATGCAAACTGGTTATTCAGCAAGACACTCATAACATAAAAAACGAACATTAAATCTTCTCTTGATAATGACATTAACATCGGTCGGTCCACTTTACGTCACACAGTCGCCGCTAATGTTAGAATGCTGTAAACATTGAAATAGCCAGCGTGTATAGAAAATAGACGTCAATTTTTCGCAAACCACGTTTTAGAGGCGCCGTTTCAAATCAGGGACGACCTCGCTAATCAACTTGCAAATAGTGTCTATACAAAACAGCTGGCCCGCTTCCTAATATGCAAATCGGTAACATGTGAATTGTGGGCGAAACAATACAAAGTGGGCCAGACAGGTTTTAGATATTAACATACATATACAAACTTTTGACACCAACTATACGCCTGTCTTCTTATTTACAGTATTTTCCAACAACAACAAAGTTCACGAGTTTTTGTTCGCTAGAGAATCTTCACGCCAAATGGGTAAATGGGGTTTATCTATACAATATCTGTGTAAGTAAAGTTGATGTGAAAATAGAAAATGCCTAAGAAATGTGCCATAAAAGAAATGTGAATTCTAGATAGAAGATACCTTTAACATACACCGAAATTAAACGTTGGAGATAAATTGTGTGTAATAGTCTGTTTTCACAATAGACGACGTGAATCTATTAGTCTTTCCCACAACTTTCACCTCTAGAGTTCCTGCATGTCAGAGATAGGTGGTCTATTGCGCAATATGGGCACAAATTTAGTATTCGTTTTCAAAAGTCCACAAACCAAATTTTGAACGACAAATAATTATTAAACCAACGCCCCGGTTGTGAGTTTGGCTCTACTCTATTACACCTGGTCGTAATTTTGCAACTGTCAGCTTACGATTTAATTAAATGTCCTGTCATGTCTGTTACACCTCCATGCGGTAATAGAAAACAAAAGTGGTAACTTGTTTTCATCCATTTACCTGACAGATTGCGTAATATGAACTGTCTCTCGTGTGCCTGAATTGTAATTGGCGGTTAGCCTGCCATCAATCTAAACTTCCTTCCCGATCACGAATTTCTCTAGAGTCATGAGAAAATGTCAGCGAGTGTTATACAGACATCTCTCGAGGATCCGAGATGTTACGATAGCATCGCAAACCAGTTTGTGTACAGTACAGGAGGTCGGCTTTGTTGACAATCTATACTACACTTGCTCGTTACTTATTGCGCAAGGCAAATATTGAAATTGCGGTGTATGAGCAATTACTGGCTGTTTGCACGAGAAATATTTAAAAGTTAATAACAATCAGCCCACGTATGGTCGTATTGCGATATTCCTTAATTTCATTGCAACCAGAATAAGAATTCACTAATTAGGCCTTCTAAAAATATTACTTAATCAGTTACAATTGCAAGTAACTTGTATAGCAATCACTTTAAGGATGTCAATTTCTACTCAATGGTAGGTCAATAATCATTTGATCGTTCGACTACCTCTTACCACATGTTCAGCAAGTATTTACTAATACCTCGATAACGAGATACGAGAACAATACCGTGTTGCGCGGCCTTTGACATACCGGCGTTATATATTGCGAACTTTGCGAACGTGTATAACAACTTATAAGGTCACATTTTTCGTACTTAGATGTGTAAGCCGTGGATACTATAGATGTAATAACAAGTTAGTCTAAACGACACATTGAGGGTCGAAGGAGTTACTGAATTGCAAGCAGCAGCTACTTACGTAAGGTCGCCTGCTTGTCTATTTACTACGTAATTTGTCTATTTACTTATATAAGATCATTTAAAAATACTAACATTGATAAGTCTCTGTAGCGTGGCGACATAGGAGTTCTCGCTGTGCATGATAGCGGCAACGACGTGCCGGCGGCGCAACTGCACCGATGTGAGCGAGTCCGGCGGCGAACCTAGAGACGGTGGTGGCACCCTCCCGCCCCGCATCTCGCCTCCGCACGAAAACATGTCCTCTTCCAACTGCAACAACAACACCAATCCAAATCCCGCCACAACACAACACTAACACTCGTCGTAACTCAACCATTTCCTCGTTAGCATCCAGATGACGCGTTCTAGCGCGTGCCACAAGCAAGGCCATATATTTTACTGCCATCAAACGTTCGCTCCGGTTTGGTGAATAAACAGGCATTTTATGCGCAAATTCCGCTTTTGCAACGTTTCCGGAACCCGCGATGGACTTCAAAATTATATTGGTGAGTCAATGAAAACGGGCCATCTGGACACTACGTTATTTATTCTATTGGCTTCCTAATGTAAACACGTAAACGTCAAAAGTAATGCTCGCGAAATCGACTTACTCGTTTATCAAAATCTGACAGGGAATAATCAGCTTTATCATGCAGAAGCTTTACACAGAACATGGTTATAGTTTCTATGAACCAGATGCTAGATCAACTTTTGACGTTTACAAATCACACGTTATACACGTAGTCTGGCTAAAAATACACTGAAGTAAGAAAATTACAATCGTGGACATGACTCCATAGTAGTAGCGCACGGGTATCCACTCGCACATCATTATATCACATGTTTTTATAGATTATTTGTTTAGTAATTCACGTCGAGGAGTCTCGGAACTGTAGACGCAAGGCGGTAGGCGACTCTACTCCCGGCTCGTTACTGCGGTTTATTATTCAATGGCAACTTAATGGTCCGAGTGATTCATCTAAATTCAAATGTGAATCATGAGCGATATAGTAGTGTTTAATAAGTTGTATTTCCTTTACATAGGCCGACCAATAAAGAGAGCCTATTAATTCCAGAAATTGTCGCGACGCGGGGAGTCAATGACCACGTTTATGACTGTGCATCGTCTGTTTCATTGATATTGCCCGGAATGAGAGTTGAATGAAGTTGTATTTCAAGTTTAAATATTCTCTCGAAAAATTTCATTAAAGCGTATGTGCTGAGCATCGTACACCACAGACATTTGTCCATAAGTATCATGAGTCATATAACATAACACAATAGTCCAGTTAAGTGCACAAAATAACAGATAAATATTTCCGCTACGGTAATTCTTGCTACGCGGCCTTGTAAGTGTTGTGCCATTGTAATTTATATAAAAACTGAAGCTTCAAAAATCGCCGTCATCCGTGACGTTTCGATAACAAACCATTAGCAGCTACAATGATACTCTAACTACAAACTAGCCATCTTAATATTGACGTACTCACATCTGTTCACGTCTTCTTGCATAGAAAGCACTAATAAGTAACGGTAATCGTTGTACTTACTCTTAATTGCTGCTACAATGCAACCTTGCACAGCTAGGTCTATTAGATTGTCACATTACATCATTGCAAAGTGTGTGTGACATAATGCGTGCCGTCTTTTCATAGCTGACTTGCAGTAAACAAACTATTCCTGTCTCAGTTGGAAAAGGAGACAATTTGAAATGGCTCAGTGCCATAAAGTATGGTCAAACGCGACGGCTCAGAACAATAAATTTGATTGTTATTGTATAAGCTTTAGACACTCACTATCGAATATTTGATATGACTACTTGAGGCACGGTTTCGAATCGTCTACTTGCATTCAAGGTTAAAATTGCATTACACGTAGGACAATAGTTGAAATTAATAATCAATAGAAACGGGAATAGATAAATTATACAAACCTCAGGCACTTTGGGCATTTTGTCTGTATCGTTGACATGCATGTCATATTGGTGTGTGGAGCCGCGTCGAACGCTGAACCACCGCGCCAGCCGCCCCCCGCCTTCGTCGTCGGGGGGAGGAGCGGGAGGTGCGGGTGCACCGCCGCTGCGCCAGCGCTCGCATAGCTCCCGAGCGCGGCTGAGCGTGTTGCGCAACTGCCCACTAGTCCTGCACGAAAAGGACGTTACATTAGTGATGTATGTACGGAAACCAGATCAGTTGCCTAACTAGATTATAGTAGATAGTTCACTAATTTTGCAAACATAGAAAGCTAAATATTGAATAACCTCAGCACAGAGAGTATTAAAAAGCCGATCTTAAAAGTTCGTGGAATTACATCTTCTTGCCAAGTTTTATTGAAATCGGTTATCGAAAAATGGGCGAAACCGGATTCATCCCCTAGTTTGCTAGCCTTAGAGGTGGAATATTTTCTTCAAATATAATTGGGACCACTACTTCCAACAAAAAAAGAATCATTAAAATCGGTTCATAATGCCGGAGTTATCACGTAACAAACGTACAAAAAAATACAGACGAACTGAGGACCTCCTCTTTTTTTTAAAGTCGGTTAATAAACAATTCACGAAGATTGTGATTTTTGTATCAGTCGAGGTCGAAATGTTAATTACCATTAACAATATGCTTAGAAAGTAGTAGAAAGGCACGTGGAATGCTTGTAGAAAAACGAAAATGTGTCGATAAAAACAAAGGAAATAGCAATAAGGTTGGTCATCGGACTGTTGTTGCGGTTATACCTAAACGTTTTCAGTTTGTGGTTTGTACCGCATCAGTCGACAGTATCGGGATAGTGAGTAACTGTACCGGTCTGTTCAACCCTAACATTTATCATCCGATGACGTTAATGTTACATTGATGGAGGGAAAACACAGGAAGGAAATAATATCACATGGCCCATTTATTTACGTAGTCAAACAACTAGAAAAACATTAATATCAAATACGAGTCACCTTTCGCGTATACCTCAGGTCGATTTCTTATTCAGAGAAAGAACCATGTTATTACTGCATACCATGATAATTAGATTAAGTTTATTAATTGTAGGATATGAGCAATTAAGCCGACGCGGAAGATGTCCAATAATGAAAGGAAAGACTAGAATAATTGGAGAAACTTGTGAAACTAGAAACTGGAGTTGCATGATGGCTTTCTGACAATTTAATTTAATGGTTTTTGTCATTAGAGGCCATCGAGATGGCTGGTTGCTGAAGGTATTAGCGATTTATGAAGGTATTATAGGGGTTCACGTTCAAAAATGAGAGAGAATTGAACTAACAATTATCCACTATCGCAATATTTGTATCTTTACTTTTCCCTTGTTGTATTACCAAACGCGAAGTTGTGCGCGGATGAAATCACAGAACAATCGGCAAATAATATCAAATACAATAGAGCAAGTTAACTTAATAAAATATATCGAGTAAACAAAGAATCTGTCGAAGGCATAACATGCGAGTACAGAGCTATTGTAGTATATTACATGTTTAATGTATGAGGAGGTTGAACGAATATATTATATCCCATTTGGTAACGTGATGAAAGACAAAATATTGTCGTTGCGGTTGCTTCACTGCGAGGCAATCTGCGTAATACAATTTTATACGAGGTATTTTCAACGGTGCTTAGGGTCTGCCTAAGGTGTTTTTGTTGCACTTAAGATTGTATTACAGCGAAGTGGACAAGCAATCTCCTGTGAATTCCAAGGCTGTGTTTTTCTTTGCTTATAAATAATTCAAGAAGCAACTTTGTTTGGAAACTGTACGTAATGCCTTTGTTCGCCTTTTATGTTGCGCTTTAGTTACACGAATGGGTTATTAATTTTTAATGTGCATTGCAGTCGTAAACTTTATCTTTTATCCGATTGAGATTGCGGTAGTATTCCTGCCGTGTGATCAAACGTCAGCAGCGTTATAAAGTGTGTGAAATTACACATCGCAATTCAATCACATTTGCTGTTTCACAGACTTGTGTGAGATCCAATCAACGGTACTGAACGATTGCGGCTTCTATCTTGCATTTAATTTGTGTTGACGGGATAAAGGTGCGATACCAGAATGCTGACTTTTTTGGAGGAATCCCGCCAATTAACCCATAGCTGCATTTGCTGCGTATACCTTTCACGGTATGAAGTAAATGCAGCAATGCTAGACGTTTTTATTTCATTATGTATTACTAAATTGTAGACCAGTAGCGAGGCGTGAATTGTCTTTAGTAATGCCGGAGCAAAACAAAGAACACTTGTCTTAACAAAGTTATTAGCACACAAGATACTAGTACACTTTATTTCACTGGTTAATTATTCTACACGTAAAATTAAACGTAGTAAATTACTTTAAAATATTTATGATATTTGATGATACGTGGGAAATTTTAGCAAGCCGGTGGAAATCGAGTTATATAGACGCCTCGCCACTGCTGTAGACTAAATTTCTTTGGCAAGTCGATGGAATGTATATGGACCTTTCGCCACTGGTAAATAATAATAATAATTTATTTCGGACTCTGAACTCGGTGTTAGTAACAAAATAACTTAAAAATTAGTGTTAGTAACAACTCGGAACGTACAATGGTAAATGAGTGTGCGTTAAAAAAAATGGGTCAAAGAACTTTTATACCTTCTCTGTGGCGAAAGTATAAAAAAAAGGAATGGTTTTTGATATTCCTAACTATCAAATATGAATTCCATATTACGTTAGTCATATATAATAAAATGATTGTAAGAATTCGTAAAAAATTTGACCTTTTTCCTGTCCTTGTGCCTACAATGTCACTAAAATTATGTCTCAGGGTGACAGGCGTTAGTGGCAGTGCCCCTCAGATCTTTACGATTGAAAGCTCTGAGTGGCAATGCATCTTACTGTCACCAGGTGCGCGACTTGATCTCCCATCACTTGGTACCATAAAAAATAAAACTATTTGAAGTTTTGTCTCCGGCGTTACCGAATTCACACTGAATTATTATTATTATTTTTTCTATAAATATATGATGAAAATGACATATATCCAACATCATTTTGCGAAAGGGACACTCTGAGAAATGTACTATTTGCGTGCGGTAAACATTTTGCGAAGTGGACATTCTGCGACTGAGCCATTTAGACAACAGACAAATAGTGAGTTTTTTAAATTAATTATAAAAATATTAATCAATTTGAAATTTTTATGCAAAAAAAGTTGATTAACCCAAACACGAACGTAATTATCAGTAAACTTTTTGCTTAAATTATTACAATATAACTATAAGGAAAAGTATTTATTCGCAAATTAAATCTACGTAAAAAACTTATCTGTTTAAAAGACCACAAATTGATTAAGTTTTTTTTTGTACCATAGTTTTAACCTGAAGGTCATAAGTGACAAACGTAAGACAAACTGCAAATTTATTCACACTAAGTAATCACGATTTAATTGGGATAGTAAAATGACTTTTTGTACATTGGGTGTAAGACTGAAGGTCAAATGGAGGCTTGAGTGAGGTAGTCAAGGAACTGTAAAGCCTTGCTGCTAAATCACAGCTAAATTGAAAGTAGAAATGATTACTCGAGTTGACGACGACGTACAGTCTGCCTTGGCAGCCCATTCCCTTGCGTCGTATATAACTTGCAACTGAGTGTTTACTCAGATAAGCCCATCATAATAAAATGCTCGTAAATATGAGATACGCCTTCCAAGGAATGTTTATGAGCAATTATTTATTATAAATTGCAACGGTTTCTGCCATCAAACACTGCTTACTTCTTACTATTGACTGAGTTCTGTTGATAAGCTAAGTGATTATTGCAAAGCCATGGTTCAGTTAGCATCAAAATGGCAGTCAATCTAAACAAAACTATGTATACATCCAAAGTGGTACTTTTTTATGATCAAGCGATGAACAAATCGTGCGCCTGGTAGTAAGTGAGCTTTAAATCGCAAAAATCTGTGGGGCACTGTCACTGCCTCCGTCACCATGAGACATAAGTTGACAAGTCCCATGTACCTGTAATTTCACCAGCCTATATATACATACTCTTCAAACGTGTAGTAAGGTTAGTGGGAAGTACTTTCCTGAACGAACTCTTATTCTGGTCATTATATATTAGATACTTAAGAGCATTACGATTGAAAAGTGTATCTTGTATTCATTAGTTCTTTGATGTTTGTCAAAATGTGTAGGTTGCGGACTCTTGACGTATTGACAAAATTATCATTTTAGATGCAAAATTTTTTTGTCTTTTGATCTTATAATTGGACGTTGACTGTACTTTATAGAGTTTTGTTTAGACTTCGCTGGTTGGTTATTGCCAGCTTTAAATGTAGTAGCTCAATCATTGGTTGTAAAGCTAACAGGCACTTGTCCCCAATTACCGAAAATAAAAAATGTAATCAACGATAAAAATAAAACTATCAATGGCAATGAATTGCGTTGGTTAGAGATTGGTAAAGTTATATTAGCTTTTATTATTATAGACCCTGGGACTTAATTTAGTTTCGCGTTTTATTGAAATGACCCAATTTGAGAAAATAAAAAATACGCACCCTTGGTGTAATAAGGACACATCTATAAAATGAGAACTTTTCAGGAGAAAGGTTTAAAGATTCTATGAACGAAATTAGTTGATAACTTATTTATGCATAAACAGGAGAGTCTTTTTTGTGTGTATACTACGCGATTACTCCGGCATTTGTGAACTAATAATAAGTCCCACGTGCAGGTCATTTCACCAGCACCTCTTTCAAAACCGGAGCGCAGTAATGCACAAATTACCGCTTGGCGGCAAAATTAGGTAAGGTGTCAGTACTTCCCTGGACGAACTCTTTCACAAGGAGCTCTACTGCTAATTATACGTGATTTCTTACTTTCATGTGATAAAAACAGTTTTGATTTATGATCACGTGGGGCTATATACCAAAGCTACAAATAGTGATCTCTTTACCTATTAACAATGCATTGAATTCTGCTAAAAATAGAAGCATTGTACAGTTCGCGTATCGTTTATTATGAGGATCACTGCAATTGCGCCCGTTATCCTGAGACATAAGTTGTCAAGTCCCATATGCCTGTAATTTCACTAGCACCCCTACCATTCAAAACCGGAACGCAGTAATGCTCATATTATTGCGTGGCGGCAGAAATAAGTAAGGTTTCAGTACTTTCCAGGACAAAGTCTTTTAAAACGAGCTCCACGGCTGTTAAGTAGGCAAGTTGGGGCGGCAGAAGCTGGTTCGAGTCCAGTCGGATCGAACTAGTGGCGTATTTACACAGAAAATTTATGAATGTCATGGTAGTACAATCATCATGATACTAAATTAAAAAAATGTATGGCTATTGGTTTATTTTTGAATTTATATAGGAAAATACTCTACGTTTGCATGGCACAGTGATACAAGAATTCGCAGAACTATTATGATGCAAAGCGAGTTGCTTTCTCAAAACAAACGCAAGCCCGGCCCGGAGGCAGTGCCCTCTTTGCCCTCGGTAGAGCACAGGAAATTCTGTTAATTGGATGCGCGCGCTCGCTAATTGTTCGTCGCGGCAGGACCACACCACGAAGGAAGTCGCATGTGCCAAATGTCACAAGCAAACTCATTTCAGCTAAGTGGTAAAAAAATTGACGCCTTTTTTGCTCTTTAACCAGTAATTGGTATTACTCAAAAAAAGCGTCAAACTTTATTTTAAAATGTGACACTCATGAAGATTTAATTAACCCGAGACATTGTTGAAAATATACACGAATCCAATATCAAAGGAAAACAATAACTGTTTTAAAAATAAGCGACATTTACAACGGTCACGATTAATACACCGTTTCAAATGTAATTGTCACCTTCGTTTTAGGTAAATAAAGGACGCTTTTGTGTACCACAGCAACATATTTTGTAGCTTGTAATGATCCTAAAAGTTGACGCTTTGTGGGACATGCTCACTCTAAAAGTGTAATTACCGTAGTTCAGTTGAAAACGCGTCCCATTTTAGACGCTCCCCTCTTAAAACCGAGAATTGGTTCTAATTTCGGAATAGCTATCAATCATAGTTGGGTGTGTCGTGCACTAAGTTACTTCCTTCGTTTAGAGATCGTACTACTTGCCATAACGTGCACTTTAGGTGCTTTTTCAATTGAAACTGTTGTTAATATAAAGACTATAAATTAAATGTTTAAAGGAGTTATGTGTCCTATGCCGATGAATAGTGGGATAATATTGCAGCGGGCCAAGACGATGCGTCAAGCAACTATATCACAATGCGTTAAAGATAGGTATGTTGTGAGCATAGGTGTTTGACGCGGCTAAAATTGTCGCACCATATTTAGGCGACGGGTGCTGATTGCTGGTCGCTTGGCGCTGTGTTATTCTTGTATGCATCACTAAACAACAACGATTTGAGACTGAAAATAGTTAATATTTTTTAAATTATATCCAAATATGTGTATGTCTAATATTATTGAGAAGTATTGTTGTTGTGACACAACGTTACAGAGGATGGAACCGTTAATTACTATGACTGCGATGGACATCTTGAAGGCCACTACAATTCTGTCGTCCGCTAACTATAGGTGACAAAATATTTTGTTTGAGATATTATAAAAAACCATAACCCAGTTTTAGAATATTGAAATTGTTTAATGATATTTCAGCTAAGCATAGTTAGGGTAAGTCGAACAAGTTAACTAATTTTAACTGTTTAAAAGAGAATTTTGTGCTCTATTTTTTGCTATTTAAATCGGATCGCACCATTTGTCACTTAGCCGTATTAGTTAGTGGACGGCCGAATTGTAGACCGTACAACGTACACGTGGTCAACAGTAACATTAGCTGAGTCAATTATATTACAGCAACAAAGTTGTCGTTTTTTATTTAGTTTTTTTATATCTTTCATTTATATAACTTTAATGTGAGCAAGTGTCCGTCGCCCAGACTCAATTAAAAGTAAGAAAGATCTAATGGATTCGGGAAACAATCATGGCATCATAGTTACAATTTAGGCAGTATTTATATAACAGCGTCTAAAAATACATCAAACCACTAAAAATATGATTAAACAATTTGCAGACTTTTTAATTTCTGCGTAAATACGTTTCCACTAATTCGACGAATAATTTATTTCGAAAAAAAAAACAAAATTAAATATAGTATTCTAGGAAGAGAGTTACCTTGAATCCAGGGTGGAATTGAGCCTTTGGGAGCGCCGGAGGGGAATGTTCCGCACCGCACTCACCGGCTCTTCCCAGCTACCACCAGCCGACCGGTGTTCATCTGTAACAAATTATAGCCATAACTTGAAATAATTACACGTTTGAAACTACTTCGTATATTTCGCTTTTTAAATATTTTAAGCCCTTTAAAACATGACGTAAGTAAATAAGAATTCTTTGGAAACTTCTACAGATTTAAATCAATTTTAAACGGTTGTTATTAGTTCGATAATATGTAATAAACGTCTTTTATAACGAATATTTATTTATTTATATTACACCACAAATTCATGTTTTGGAACAACACAGACGTGTGAATCTCATCGCTGTATGAACTTAACTAACAAAAGGAAGAATAATGTTACAAGTTATCAAAGTTAACACGTATTTGTAATGTACGTATTTTTAAGGTTATCAATTATCACTATGAACTTAGTTGTAGCCGTATTTAAATGTCATTCTTTATTTTCGTAACGGACTTTAAATATCTGGATAAAAATATGCCTTGTTATTATTATTAATACAAAGATCGAAAACATAAACAAAAATTCCTCCGATTCGACTGGGCGCCAACTAGCGTCTGTCGCCCCAACGTGGCTACCGCTCTTATCAACTAAGCTATGGATCGAGGTAGCAGATGTTACCTATTTAGTATATGTGATCTCTATGCCAATAATAATAACACACTAGTGAAGTACTTTCACAAAATAGATCGAGTTAACGAATAACTCATATGATGGTAGTAAAAACATGATATTCAATAAAAATAATATACAAATTAGTATTTTGTAACACTAGAATCAATTAATCACCATTTAGACAGACTGCTGGATCCTCAAAAACATCGCTATCGCCTCCAAGTGAGACTTTGTTTAAAATATATTCCCCTTATAGAGATATAAATAGGTCAGTAGATTCCATAACCCTTACATGAATGTAAAACAATGTCAACTATGCCTGTATCATTCTTCATACTATAGACAAAACATAATTTATGCCACACTATAAAATGGTTCTCATGATTATTAGACTACAATAAAAATAACAGTCATAGAATTTATCATATTCAATGATAAGTCAATATTAGTCAGATAGAATATTAGTCAGGTGAAGGTATCCGTCGTATTTGGACAAATTGAAGCACGAATTGATTCGACAGACCTTGAAACCACATGAGTGGGTGTTGAGACGTAGGAATTTTTGCGCAACGATATTTAATTTTATTAAAATACAGCAGCAAGCAGAATTAGATAACAAAAAACAATGCAGGTATCTCAGATTTCTATACGAGTCCATAAACGTTCCAGTGATTTCAGCTACTGGGCAGGGACTGTACTACGGAGATCACAGAATCATATGCCTTAATATGTCTACGGTGTTTCGTTAACTTTACATATTAATTTAACAACATGTAACAACAAATCTTACGTTTTCGCGATTGTTAAACATAGGAAAAGAAACTGCATATATCTTCGAACCAAAATTTTGTGTATTTGGTTTTTCCAAACCAACTAAAGTTTCGGGTCCTTTACGCGTCTCACGGTCACGGTTGACTTTTAGAATCCGAAAAAATAGTTTCATTTCCAATAATAATATTTTTTTAAATGATAATTTCAAAATAACCAAGAATTAATAATATTGTATCAAGCATTAACTACATTAGCAGATGTACTTCAAACGAAGCTATATACAGTCGTAAGTAAAAAACAGACAGTAACAAATTACATACTAAACCATTTGTGTTTCTTTATTAACTTATGTTTAATTTTAGCGATTTTATCGCTTCTTTTGGTCCGTTTCATCGCGCCACTGTCAGTTTTCTGTTTATTCATCACATCACACGTGTTCACAACACCGTTATCTAATATGCCCATTCACAGATCAAGGCTTCCACTAGGAAAACTAAAGAAGTAGTCGCTATGCACTTCACAACACATTAACATAACTAAATACGTTTATTTATAATTACTTAACGAATTTTGTTTGGTAATTAAACAAGAATCACGTGTAGTCTACACAATGCTTGGGCCCACACTAAAAGTTCTGAATGGGCGGTTAGTAGTAATAAGAATCTTGATTGTGGCTCCAGGGGCCCAGTGACCAGGGTTGACGACCCGCTCGCCTGTTCACCGCCGTAATAGCTTTTCTAGCTCTATTTGCACAGATGCCTAACTACGTGTATTATGAAATAATGAAACATAAGTACTTGTTAAAACAATACCACTATTTACAGCTGCTATCGAAGTGATTTGCAAATTACTGTCGATGTGTTTAAATAATGTGATAAAGATAAACACGTTATAATTAAATAAGTACCATGATCCAAGTTTTTCGGTCTTTTTCAATGCTTTGATGTTTTCTTATGTGATCAGTTGAAATTGTTTAATGGACTTCACGTAATACTGACTCGTAAAGCACGTCGCCGCTTCCTGTTTCCGTAACGACAACCGGCGCGGTAGGTAGGGACTAGGGTTTTGTATTCCATTGCACCTTGTTTGATAAAATCATTCACGTTTACTGTTTCATTGTAGAACACCGCAGCCCTGCACCCGCTGTCTGTTATCTTAACTAGGGGAATTAAGATGTACACATCCTGAAGTGCTGACCTCCCTTTCACTACATTAGATAGCGGCGTCATTTAACGTAAATCACATCGACAGCTAGATAGCGTTCCTGGAATTGCTATCTTACTGCAAATATGGCCTACATGGTCTGCATCTTGAACACCTCTATCAAATACGAGGGTACTTTCAAAGTTCAAGATACCAATAAAGCGTTAGATAGCCCGAGTACGATTGGCTGGAGCCGATGACCTCTTTAGATGGTACACTAACCCGGTGTAGGTACTCGTAAAATGTAAATAGCAAAATAGCAGGTCCATAACGAGAAACGATTTATGTTTGTTCGTTTAGTATCTGTTGATCTCGGTATTGGACTGGGTCGAGATCAGAGCCGCCGCCGTTGTAAGGCAGCCGCCGCTCCCCGTCACTCGCACTCTCATTGTTTCAATCTCCCGGCTAGATCCTATGTTCGGTATGATTCATGCGAAAATTGCAAGTTTTAGATAAGATGCAGTAAATAGGGCGTTGCAGCCGAACAATTGCTTATGAACAGACCATTATACTTGACACAATTCCTGAAGCGCTGCGGGCGGGACGCGATCGCTACATGTGGGTTCATTGTATAAGCGCCAACAGTGATTCAATGTTACTAATAATTCAACTTAAAATACTGACGTAAATTTAACAGTCACACCTTTAACTGGAATTAACCTGCGAGGGATCCAACTGTGATGAGTAACCGCGTAATCCAGGGCGCGCGGTTGAAAATATCCCGTTAGAACTAGAACGTTATTTTTGTTATCGTCATATAAAAAAATTACGACCCACTTTGTTACATTGAATTTACGTCTGTTAACAATGATTAGCAGCTGCGGCCAATTGTGGCATCGAATTTGTCCAACGACTAGCAAGTAGATAAGGGCAATGGGTTGATAGAAATTGTTCAATTACGTTTATTCAGATGGTTAAGAATGTCACTTATAATATTGTTTGGACGGCTCTTGCCACACTGGGGCATCGAACGCATGTGTTCCGTTCACCCACCTAGTTTGTTACAGTTGGTGTTCATTCTTATGCGTGTTAAATTAAATTGTGTCACGAGGTTTATTTAATTAATTGGACGGAGTGCTATTCACAGAGACACAAATTTATTTTACGGTATTTACATGTAGGTTGTGAATTATTTTCAACGTCGTTGAATGGTACAAGTCATCATTATTAAAATCCACTAACTTCATTAGAGATTATTAAAGTGTGCTATATTGTAAATTCATGTCACCTATTATTGTTAGAGGAGTTGCAACACTCAACAAATCCGTTTAAGTGTAAGAGTGTAAAGTAAAATTACATTTAATGCCTTTGTAAGTAATAAATAAAAACAAAAAAGGAAAACTAAAAAAAAATGTGGCGTCGTTTAAATTCGTAAACCTAAAACCAAAACGGCGGTATCCCTTAATGTGAACTGTGGAGTAGGCACAAAAAAAGGAGTTACTAGAAATAATTATATCATAATCTATGATTACACCTTTATTTTATAACTCAAAAAGGGTCTAATAGTTTTTTAAGCTTTAGTTGCACGATATCGTGCATTTTCAAATTTAACCGATGAAGTGTATGTAAATCTACATCTATTTACCTATTGTTTTCAGGGGCTCCTCTACGACCGGGCATAGTTTCACTTTGTTTACGACGATTACCAATGTAAATTGCATTGTCGCGTCACACCGGCACAGTCACGAAAACAAATATATCTCACGTTACAAATATAAATTAAGAAATGCATCGTTCGCGTGCACGCCAATGTACAGTCGAGTCAAAACTAAACCGGCGGATTATCATAATTGGTCGTTGCCTGCCTGTGTCAATTGCCGAGCCTATTCAATTTAAAAAGTTAATATCAACATTGGCTACAGTCCAGCCGTGCTCCAGCTTAGTAATTATTATTGCGGACTCTAAACAAAGCTAATTGAAAATGTGCGCCTCCCGCCTCAATTGGGAGCGTCGCCGCTTCGGGGGAACTTTTGGTGACGGAAATAACACAATTAATGTTATTTCTAGAAAATGGCAAGCGTATGGGTTAAACGGCGAAATAATCTGACTTTCCACTTACGTTCGACGAGTTCCAGTGTAGCTTATTATAAAAAAATATTCTTGGTATCTTTTTTGTTTGTTTTGGCACTTCACTGTTATTGTTTGCACAAAAAAAGGGAAAAAATGGAACACAAATACAATAATAATATATAGTCGGTGTTTTGTAGAAAGGGCGAAAGCGCCATTTCGATAAATTTTTCAGGGGAGCATGTTTTAGGTTTTAACGACTGTTCTAAAATATGTACGTCATGTTTTCTACAAATTTTTTTTAATGAAACTTAATTAATTTTGTTTTAAAACCAAAATTGAATTTTAAAACAGGACGTAAATATTTTAAATAGTCGTGAAAACTTAAAACATGCTGACTTCAAAAGTTTTTCGAAATGTCGCTTACGCCTTATCTACAAAA